CATGATCCAGTGACAATTCCCCTGACAGCACCCACCCCAGAGCCCCAACCCTTCCGCCCCTGGAGGACATTGCCTCAGGGGGTGATTTAACTAGGGACAGCCCTGGCCACAGGCATGATTTCCAGAGGCAGATGCATGATGGGGATTTGTAGTTTTACCACAGCTGGAGGGCCAAAGTTTGGCAACCCCCTGATGATGTGTGGGACACAAGGTTGGAGTTGGGTGGCACTGGGCAGTCATAAGCTGATATGTGGTAATAAACCCACCGACATGATTCACACTGACGCGATCACGCAGAAAATGGCATGTGGGTGTCGAGGGGACCGGGCCCTGTGCTGCACATGTGTCTGGTCCCCCCGGACCGGAAGTGCCATCTAGATAGCCCGTAAAGAGTGACTTTAGAAGAGGATAGTACAACAGTGCTGATCATTATTAATCATGTGAGGACAAAGAACACGCAGGTACACATCTGTCAGCATGCTGGTGGATATTCCGATGTTTTCAGAGATGACCTTTAAATAGCAGTTTTGGGGGATATCTTGGGGTGGATGAGACTGAAAAGTTCCGGTCAGATTTTTCTGCTAAAGCTCCCTGCCAGTTATATGTTGGTTGTGTTTGTGTGCAGAGAGTGGAAGAGACAGCAGAAGGGGAGTAAAAGGATGGAGGAGACGGTCCACATACAGCAAGGGGTCCAGGAGCTGGAGTCCGAGAGAAGAACCCGGGAGAGGCAGGCCAAGATCCAAGAGCTGCTCAGCCAGGTTTATGCCGACAATCACATGGTGAGAAATCTTAAAGAATAGCTACGATGGTAAAGACAACCGCAGGCCGATGATCTGATGATGTGTGCGGAACAATAAAGTTTAATTGAAGCGCTGAGATCATCAGTGTGCGGCCATTCCTTTGCAGTCAAGCTTGTGAGGGCAGCATGGGCGAGTTCCCATCCTGCCTGCACCTGACTTTCCAGGCTCTGGCATATGAAGCAAGCATAAGAGCGGCAACCCTTCCTGCTTCCGCTATAATGTTTTTTTATTACTAATTATATCAATTTATTTTGTTAAATCATCATTCAATGCAAAGTTCACCAGAGAAGAGCACTATGAGGACAGCAAAAACTGCTTGCTTTCAGACACCCTGCCTCTGATTGAAACATCATGTGGAGCCTTATGAGGGGAGGGAGAAGAAGTCACTGGGTTCACACCAAGCAAGGCGCATCCCTAATAGGCACTACAAGAAAAATGTTTGTGTCAATAGAAGAAATACAGATTTATAAATATGGATCAGCAAACAGACATGTTCACATAAATAAAGAAATCATTAGTAATGTAAAATGTATACACTGATGTGGATGAGGGCAGTTATATCTGCGCATTACAAATACATGATGGACTCCCTGCTTCCATGATGTCTATGAACAGAGCCCTTTAACAGCAAGCACGGGTGTCAGAGGTATCCCGAATTTGTCTTGGGTCCTGGTCTCTGGCTTCTCCTATACTTGCAGCAGGATTTGGCGAGGATGGCCATTGCTCTGTGTATCATACATATAGCCACCAGAACAGTGGTGGTCAGCTTACTTGATATAGGGGACCTTAAAGTGACATTAAACCCTCAGATTTTTTAACATAAACCAATACTGTAATGTGCGCCTTACTGTAATCCATGGTAGTTTCCCTTCTCTTTGCTGCTCTTCCTTTTAAATCCTCATGGCTTCTCATGCTTGGGGAGAACTTCCCTTTGCAGCTGAGTGCCTCTTCCTGTAGTGCTGGCTCAGGTTGTGAACCTGCACACAGACACCGTGTATCCATTCCAGAGACAAGGCAGTCTGCTGCAAAACAGAAGTTCTGCCCAGCATGAGAACAGATACAGATTTAAAAGGAAGAGCAGCAAAGAGAAGGGAAACAACCATGGATTACAGTAAGGCGCACATTACAGTATTGGTTTATGTTAAAAAATCTGAGGGTTTAATGTCACTTTAAGTGTGGCCCCTGACATCAGCAAAGGGCCTCAGATAATAATCAGTGAATGCAATACTACAGAAAGCTGTCAGAGACTGCAGACATGGCTGCCAGGGGCCGCACAGTAAGTGTCAAAGGGCCAAAGTTTGGGCACCAGGGTGCACTAGAGTATGCGGTGGTCAGTTTACTTGACATAGGGGGCTCAAGTGTAACCCCATACATCATATCAAGTAAGCCGACCACCACTGTGGACCCTCTGACATCAGCAAATGCCTTTAGATAATAATCAGTGACTGCAGACATGCCTGCCAGGACCCCAAGGGGTGCACAGCAAGGCCTCATTCACACTGGAATCGGCCCACACGTATAGCTCCATGCTGCGTGCACGGCAGTATCGGGCAGCTCCTGGGAAGGACAGGCGCTGCGCATGATTAGTACGCAGCCCCCGTCCTTCTCTATGGGACTATGCGGCCGTACGTCCCCCTACGCTCACCTCAAGTGCAGGTCCGTAGGGGTGTGTGTTTCCTGGCTAGATGCAGACAGGATCCATCTTGTAAGCGTACGAGTACGCTCACCCGCACGGACGTGCCGGGCGGGTGAGCGTAGGGGGGCGTACGGCCGCGTAGTCCCATAGAGAAGGACGGGGGCTGTGTACTAATCACACACAGCACCGGTCCTTCCCGGGAGCTGCTCGGTACGGCCCTGCACGCAGCACGGAGCTGTACGTGCCGGCCGATTCCAGTGTGAATGAGCCCTATGTGTCAAAGGGTCACAGGTTGGGCACCAGGGCACTAGAGGATGCGTTGGGACAAGGTTTTCTGGCAACCAGGGTGAAGATCAGAAAGGGTTCCCCCCTGCAAAAGCCCAGACAGGTAATGCTCGTGACTGGACCAGTGCAGGATGCAGAAATAACAGCAGCTGTCCCTCCGGTCTTGGGGTTACCACCTTTTGGCCCACATAAGTTTAAATGGGATTGGAAAGGGGAGGAGGGGATTGCAACGTCTTGATGCAATTGTAACGCTTATGATGCAAATTTTAGTCTGACCTTTGTACCTTTTTATAAGGGTGAATATCATGACCTGTCCAATACTAGACAACTTATTTACCTGTTAGATGTGTTTACCTGCCCTGACCCTGATGAAGCTGCCAGCGTGCCACAAATCATGTTGGTGGTGTTGTTACCCTTTGCATGACTGATGAATATTTACCTTCTGATGAAAGTGCCTCTAAGTCTCTTGTTTGACAACGATCTCTCCTGCTGACCTCATCTCCTTTCACTTCACTGGTTGTGAAAAAGGATGGACTAGAGGAAGCCATGGATGTCACTGATCCAATCAGGCCTCCGATCTCACAGCAGTTTTCTTTCTGCAGTGCTTACAGAAGTATTTCTCTGCCTGGTACCAGCTGATCCTGGAGCGTCGGGTGAAGATGGGCAAAGCCCGGGCAATGGCAGACTGGAAGCTTCAGCTGAGGACATTCCGGGCATGGAGGCAACACGTGTGGTCACAAAAGCTGGAACGGGAGACCCAAAAAACGGAGAGCGAGCTACGAGATCAAAACAGGTTTGTGACCGATGCTCCAAATGTGTGAACAACGTAGGGAAGTATTAGAACTCCTGATGGGATGACTGCTGTCCCAGGCTCCGTTAGAGAGATTTCCCCTCACTTCCTGTTCCTGACAATGGTTTCACTGGTCAGGAAGTTAAGTAATATCTGTATCAGGGATCCAGACAGAAATCAAAATCTGCCAGGGCCCTATCCTTCCTCTGCTCTGCTAAATAGGGCGGCACAGTGGTGTAGTGGTTAGCACTTCTGCAGCCCTGAGTTCCTCTGGTTTAAATCCTGGTCGGACATTTTCTGCATGGGGTTTGCATGTTCTCCCTGTGCTTGCGTGGGTTTCCTCCGCGCACTCCCGTTTCCTCCCACACTCCAAAGACATGCTGGAAGGTAAATTGGCCCTGTATGTATGCATGTGAGATAGGGACCTTAGATTGTAAGCTCCTTGAGGGCAAGGACTGATGTGAATGTGCACTGTGTAAAGCCATCGCTTGCCAAACTCAACATGCCAAGCTAAAATGACTGCACAGCAAAACATTGTGGATGCTGCAGCCTGTATGGTGCTGTGCGGCCCCCGTGTCAATTAGTAGGTAGTTGGTCGGGGCAGTAAAAACACGGATCAAGCCCCTGTTTTTACTTGTGATGCCGATACTGAGTATTTGGGTGAGGCTCGTACTCGCCCAAATGCTCCGATACCGGCAGTGCTGTAGGGGAACATAGTTACATAGTATTTGAGGTTGAATAAAGACATAAGTCCATCAAGTCCAACCTGTTGTGTGTGTGTGTGTGTGTGTGTGTATAGGTCCATGAGTGTTCTCATTCTTAAGAGTACCTGTACAATTGTGCATTTCGGTCTCTCAGGAAGTCGTCCAAAAGCCTCTTGAACGATTCCAGATTAATTGCGGAAATTACCGCTTGAGGCAGCGAGTTCCAGACCCTAACCGCGCGAACTGAGAAGAACCTCCTTGGCCCCTTGTGTTTGAATTTTTTTTCTACCAGTTTTAGGTGGTGTCCTCTAGTCTTTGTTACGGAATTAATCTCAAAGAGTTTGTTGCTATGACTATGGAACATTTTGTACATGTAAACATGTTTAAATTTAGTATGAGCCAGCTCATTGTTAGAACCATGGAGCCATCTTCCTCATTGTTCCAGCTCATTGTTAGAGCCTACCTTCCACGCTGCCCTATATATGTGTAAAACCAATGCAAAGTGCTTTTGCTGCTTTTTCAGAACATATGAATACTTTAGTGGGCATTGTCTGGGCACAGGTTCACTGCAAAGCCCGCTTGGTTCCTAAAGTTCTGCAATGCATCTGACCTCCATCTTTCCCTCCAGGAAACAGAAGGTGGCAGTAGAGAGCTACCACAAACGCCTCTTGCGTCACTGCCTGATAGAGTGGCAGCTCTGGTGCCGAGCAGAGAAGGAGAAGAGAGAGCTGGAGGCTCGAAAAGAGGAGACCAAGAGGAAGATGGCAGCTTTGCTGGAAGCGGCCTCATCCACGAGGGGCAACAAGATGAACGGTGAGGGCGACACTGAGGTGACCGCCCAGAGCCCAGAAACCACTGAACAAAAGGTGAACTTTCCTTCTGCATTGAAGATTCAGGTATATGAATTGGAGGGGATCTGCACTCAGGAGTGACAGGTAAAGTTGATATATCCTTGGTGATCCTGCCATGTTTAGGCACTTCCTGTTATAGGATGACAGCGCCACTCTCTACCAATTGTGCTCCTTCGTTGTCACCTGGTCACACGCTCTCCAAGTGGAGGTTACAAGCAGCAGTGCCAACTTCACTGTTGTCGCAATCAGGTACCCCTCCATGAGAAATGCCTGGTGGCCACCGCTGGGGAGCCAGGGTGCTGGACGGATGCAGTTCACATGGCAAGGGCGCCTCTAGATGGTGCTGACGAGTTGTCAGCGCCATCTAGGGGCGCTAGCGCTGTGTGAACGGCATCCACCCGACTATACACCAGGACAGAACTTTTATAAATGAACCCCTTAGTGATGTTTAGTTTTATTTCCCATCTCCATGCAAATATTAATATTCGTTTTGGTGCCATCACATGTGATCTGATGCTTCTTCTTCTTCCATATTGGATTTCAGGGGGAAGAAAACGGCAGCGCAATCAGCAGCTGTCAGACGCCAGGTCCTCACATGACCTCCCCGGGACCAAAGGCTCCTAAACATGCCTGGCAGGTGACCAGGCAGCACGCGGCTCTCACCTCCGATGAGCTGAACCAGCAGCGGATGAAGCCCAGCATCACCCCTCGGACACCAGCCCCCCAGAAGAAAGGTGCCCCCTATGGCGAGAACTATGAGAACCGGCACCAGTTCCAGCAGCTGATGATCGAGGAGCAGAGACGACAGCTCCAGGAGCAGAAAGAGATGATACAAGAACTGATGGAGAACCAGAGACTGATGATTGTAAGAGGGGAAGCCAAGAACGCCAGCGCCGTGAATGCGCAACTGTTTGGCCGTGTCACCGCAGCGAAAGTGACCCGAAGGAAGGAAAGTGGCCCATTGAATGAAGAATCTTCCGCTGCCAAGCAAGAGGCACCCCGGAGGTATGACTTAGAATGGGTCATAGTTTATGTTTCCTCATATATAAATATATTTTCATATGTGTGTGTATGTATGTATGTATGTATGTATGTATGTACGTACGTACGGGTGTGCCTGCAGGAATGTCCAGGTACTGACGAGATGCCCCGCCCCCTGCAGAGCCCGCACTGTACTGAGAGCCGCGCATTCCTTGTGACAGCCGCTGCTTGAGTCAGTGAGAGGCGTCCCCGGAGCCTCCGTGCCGCTTCAATGACAGCCCAGCCAGCACGGCATCAGAGGGGCCCGGGGAGCAATTGCGGACCACCAAAATTTTCTTGCAGACCACCGGTTGGCGACCGCTGTTACAGTGTGTACATCACAAAACCTACTCTGGGAACTTTTCTTTCCTTAACGCAGAACTCCAGGCATCAAATAGTTCCCCCCAGTCACCTACCACTGAACAATTTACATTCTTTTTATCTTTAATTTCTGGGAAAATGCCTTCTTTTTTAGTAATGTAATGTGGACCACTACATTGCATTACTAAAAAAGAAGGCATTTTCCCAGAAATTAAAGATAAAAAGAATGTAAATCTTTTTTAGTAATGTAATGTAGTGGTCCAGTCCCATTCTACTTCTTCCTATGGCAATGGCCAGGGAGCAGTGGCGACACAGGGACTACATGTCCCAGAAGTCTGTGCGGTTCAGGCTGCGGGTGGGTGCGGCTGTAGTACTGGAAACTACAAAGGAGTGTTCACAATGACAGCTGACTGTGACAGGAGGTGGCTGCTGAGGCTCAGTGTTGTGCAGGTGGGAGGTACCCCGCATGTGGAACATGGAGCTGTAATGCACAGGAAAGAAGTGAAGTCAGGACCCCGTCTGCAGCAAAGATAAGCAAAAATATACAAATTGGAGTTCTGCTTTAAATAGCCCCCCCGGGAGTTTAACATAAAACCCCCCAGCTCTGGCATCCGTTGAATGATGCTTCCATGAGAGACTGAGCACATACCATGAGTGCAGGGTGTCACCGATCTGCCCCCCAGAGGAGGGGTTATTATGGCACCCTGTGATCACAGTATAATGATGCAAAAATCAGTGCTGACATCATCATGTCTGCCCTGCTCTTTGCATCATTGGGTGAAGATCCGAAAAGAAAAAAGACCCTCTGTATCATGTGATCAGCCTGTATCATGTGATCAGCCTGAAAAAATTGTTGGGGGGTTGCTAATGGCTGTATCGTGGGGCAGAGGGACAGCGGTGCACTGGGTGGTGGCAGAGGGGAGAAACTATGGATTACAATGTCCCGAAGTCATGTGACCTGTCAGTCCCATCAGCTGCCGAAAGCTGCAAACTTCACATTCCTATACAGTCATAAAGTGGCCCTATCAGCACAGGGTCACTTTTTACTGGCCGGATCTGTCAGATACCTCCCCTCCCCCCCTATGTCTCACGCAGTGGCTCCTCCCTCCCATGGCTCATGGGCTCATACAAATGGTTACCACCCCTCCCTATTTTTCAGGGACCATTTTGAGGGGTCTGTCGTCAGCAAACATTCCCTGTGGTGTTCCTGGCAGTAAAAAGGTGGTGCAAGATTCTGCGAGTGTGCCTAGAAATAGGGGCATGATTCTGTGGGTGTGGCAAGAAATAGGGGCATGATTTTGTGGGTGTGGCTAGAAATAGGTGCATGATTCTGTATGTGTGGCTAGAAATAGGGACATTATTATGTGGGTGTGGCTAGAAATAGGGGCATGATTATGTGGTTGTGGCTAGAAATAGGGGCATGATTCTGTGGGTGTGGCAAGAAATAGGGGCATGATTATGTGGGTGTGGCTAGAAATAGGGGCATGATTATGTGGGTGTGGCTAGAAATAGGGGCATGATTCTGTGGGTGTGGCAAGAAATAGGGGCGTGATTTTTGGGTGGTGTGGTTAAAACTAGGCATGGTCAGTAGGTCATAGTATCATAGAGTCTTTTATCGGTTGTCAAGCCCAATGCTGTTCCATGGTTTGTCTTTTATTTTTGTGTCTTCTCAGATTATCCTTTTCCTCTCTTCAGTCTGAGGGCCCAAATGGCACCCTAGGCCAAGGCACGATGCCCGCACCCCGGAGGGCCAGCGTCTGCTCCACCCCGCACCCTGCAGTGAGAGGTAAGCATTATATTGTCCGATACAGTGGCGTCTCCTGCTATGCACATAAATCTGACCTCCGGCCTCCCCTTCAGTCTTCTACCGCGTTTCCCCGAAAATAAGACACTGTCTTATATTTTTTTTGGCTCAAAAAAACACACCAGGTCTTATTTATTTAAGCCACACTTATTCATGTACACAAATATGGTGATCAGGGGTGCCGTACCTGTCCAAGAGCAATTTGCTAACCCATCGCTGGCCAGAATGAGTGAGGGCGCTTTCACTATCGATTCCTCACAGGCGGAGTGCATTTGGTATCACTCCACCTGTGACTTTTTTTTTAATGTGCAACAAAATGTACAACAATCTAAAGTTATTTGGTATCACTCCGCCTGTCACAGTAACTGGCGCTATAGAGGAAACATCGGCTTATGCGGCTCTGCTCCCTCCGACGCCGCCTCGCCTCCTCTAGCGCTGGCTTTGTTGGTACCGATTATTCTCTCCCGCGGCTCTTCAAGTTCCCCCTTATGCCACCACCGGCCCTGGGAAAGGTCACAACTAGGTCTTATTTTCGGGGTATGTCTTATATTTTAGCAATTCCCAAAAATAGTACTAGGTCTTATTTTCGGGGAAACAGGGTATCTGACCTCCGTCCTTCCCTTCAGTCTTCTATCTGACCTCCGTCCTTCCCTTCAGTCTTCTATCTGACCTCCGTCCTTCCCTTAACCCCTTCATGACTGAGCTAGTTTTCAGGTTCTGTTCATAAATGACTGACACATTTTTTACATTTTTGCGGTGTGATTCTTCCACGGCAGTAATATACTTTCTTACTAAATGTACCCACACATTTGTGGGTGTGGCTAGAAATAGGGGCATGATTATGTGGGTGTGGCTAGAAATAGGGGCATGATTATGTGGGTGTGGCTAGAAATAGGGGCATGATTCTGTGGGTGTGGCAAGAAATAGGGGCATGATTATGTGGGTGTGGCTAGAAATAGGGGCATGATTCTGTATGTGTGGCTAGAAATAGGGACATTATTATGTGGGTGTGGCTAGAAATAGGGGCATGATTATGTGGTTGTGGCTAGAAATAGGGGCATGATTCTGTGGGTGTGGCAAGGAATAGGGGCATGATTATGTGGGTGTGGCTAGAAATAGGGGCATGATTATGTGGGTGTGGCTAGAAATAGGGGCATGATTATGTGGGTGTGGCTAGAAATAGGGGCATTATTTTGTGGGTGTGGTTAAAACTAGGCATGGTCAGTAGGTCATAGTATCATAGAGTCTTTTATCGGTTGTCAAGCCCAATGCTGTTCCATGGTTTGTCTTTTATTTTTGTGTCTTCTCAGATTATCCTTTTCCTCTCTTCAGTCTGAGGGCCCAAATGGCACCCTAGGCCAAGGCACGATGCCCGCACCCCGGAGGGCCAGCGTCTGCTCCACCCCGCACCCTGCAGTGAGAGGTAAGCATTATATTGTCCGATACAGTGGCGTCTCCTGCTATGCACATAAATCTGACCTCCGGCCTCCCCTTCAGTCTTCTACCGCGTTTCCCCGAAAATAAGACACTGTCTTATATTTTTTTTGGCTCAAAAAAACACACCAGGTCTTATTTATTTAAGCCACACTTATTCATGTACACAAATATGGTGATCAGGGGTGCCGTACCTGTCCAAGAGCAATTTGCTAACCCATCGCTGGCCAGAATGAGTGAGGGCGCTTTCACTATCGATTCCTCACAGGCGGAGTGCATTTGGTATCACTCCACCTGTGACTTTTTTTTTAATGTGCAACAAAATGTACAACAATCTAAAGTTATTTGGTATCACTCCGCCTGTCACAGTAACTGGCGCTATAGAGGAAACATCGGCTTATGCGGCTCTGCTCCCTCCGACGCCGCCTCGCCTCCTCTAGCGCTGGCTTTGTTGGTACCGATTATTCTCTCCCGCGGCTCTTCAAGTTCCCCCTTATGCCACCACCGGCCCTGGGAAAGGTCACAACTAGGTCTTATTTTCGGGGTATGTCTTATATTTTAGCAATTCCCAAAAATAGTACTAGGTCTTATTTTCGGGGAAACAGGGTATCTGACCTCCGTCCTTCCCTTCAGTCTTCTATCTGACCTCCGTCCTTCCCTTCAGTCTTCTATCTGACCTCCGTCCTTCCCTTAACCCCTTCATGACTGAGCTAGTTTTCAGGTTCTGTTCATAAATGACTGACACATTTTTTACATTTTTGCGGTGTGATTCTTCCACGGCAGTAATATACTTTCTTACTAAATGTACCCACACATATTATATATTGTTTTTTAGAGGACAGATAGGGCTATATAATTATATCACATATGTGTACCTAACCCCTCACTTAGTTTGAATAAAATAAAAAAATTAGGAAAAAAACTAGAAGAAAACACTTTTTTCACAAGTTTTGATTATTATTTTTTTTTTTAAAATTTTTTTATATTAATTATAGTATAAAAAATATATTTATATATAATTTATATTTTCCTAATTTTGTTTTACACTTTATTTTAATTTTTTTACACTTTGTAAAAAAAATAAAAATAAAATAAAAAAACTTTTTTTTTTCTTGTCAGTTTATATCAAGCAATCACTATGACAGCTTGATAAATTAACTTTTTTATTTTATTTTTGGCTATTAGGCTGATCCAAACTTAGGAACAGCTAATAATAACCTTAGAGACTGATCCTGACTTTAGTCAGATTCAGATCTCACTAAAAGCTCTTTGATCTGTGCCTAGACGATCAGAACTGATACATTTCACTAAAAGATACATTGTATCCTTTCAGTGAAATGTATCTAAACATCGGGCTCTCGAACTGTCAAAACAAATAGCAGAGAGGTGAGTCACTGCTGCCTCTCTGCTATTTTCAGCTGTCAAATACGGGATCGCAAATTGCAGTCGTGTATTTGCATGTAACAGCTTCATTCTTTCATTAATGAATGCCTCAATACTGAGACATTAATGAATGACTGTTAAATGCTGAGAATCAGCAAATACCGGCATTACAAAGCCTGATATAACTCGTCACGTACAGTGTACGTGGCCAGTCATATAGGCACAAAGTGCCGGGACGTACACTGTACGTCTCCCGTCACGAAGGGGTTAAAGGAGAACTATGAGGGGGGAGGGGGGTGCTTCTCCCTCACCTCATAGTTCTAGCCGACCTGTGACAATGAGTCTGTCACAGGTCCGCTCAGTAGATCGGGAAGTGAGCGAACACATACCGGCGTACGCTGGATTCCCCTCTCCCCGCTCCGATGCTCCAGCGCTGACTGGCGGAACGGATGGGGGAGGGGGCGGGTACAGCCTCTAGATAGGCAGAGCCAGCTGTCACTCACGCAGCTGGGCGGATCCAGACATAATTGTCGGGGATCCGCTTCAGATGCGGCGTTTCAGTATATGGAGAGCTGTAGCTCGCGGTATACTGAGCCTAGGGCGATAGGAGGACGCTAGTTTGTGTCCTCCCGTTACCCTAAGGAGAACTATGGGGAAAAGCCCTGACCCCATAGTTCTCCTAAGTCTGGCACAGTTGTAGCGGCTCCTCTCCTCTGATGTCACTGCACACTGAGAGCTTCTCACCATGTGCATTAGAAGCTGCAGCAAGTCACATAGAGCCCGCCTCATTTCCTGGCTGGAGGACGTCCAGTATCATGTAGGACTTTCCTCCCCAGCCTGACTGCCCCTGGTCCACCCTTTCATTCATTGGATTTCAGTTCTTTCAGTCGGCTGTGGTCCTCTTGTGTTGCAGCGATGGAGGAGAGAGCGGCCCAGCGAGAAGAGAGGAGGAGGTTGCTGGAGGAGGTGAAAAGGAGACGAGAGGAGGAGAAGTTGGTGAGTCCTGTATTGAGTTTGTGTGACCCACATGAGACATTTCATCACAGCAGCCAGTGGTACTGGAGGGGTCAGAGAGTGACACCGGGGCAAAGGCCCAAGGCCTACATTGTATTTACTGAGCTTACCAATGAAAGAGAAAATGTCCCAGGCACGCCTTCTGTCCGATAGTCATGTGTATAGTGGGTGACTGCCACCAGCCTGTAGTATGTCCGCAGTCTCCGACCCTCTCCTGTAGTATGTCCGCAGTCTCCGACCCTCTCCTGTAGTATGTCCGCAGTCTCCGACCATCTCCTGTAGTATGTCTGCAGTCTCTGACCATCTCGTGTAGTATGTCTGCAGTCTGCATGTCCCCATTTTCTGACCATCTCCCGTAGCATGTCCCCAGTCTCTGACCATCTCCTGTAGCATGCCCCCAGTCTCTGACCATCCCCTGTAGTATGTCTGCAGTCTGCATGTCCCCATTTTCTGACCATCTCCCGTAGCATGTCCCCAGTCTCTGACCATCTCCTGTAGTATGCCCCCAGTCTCTGACCATCCCCTGTAGTATGTCTGCAGTCTGCATGTCCCCATTTTCTGACCATCTCCCGTAGCATGTCCCCAGTCTCTGACCATCCCCTGTAGTATGCCTGCAGTCTCTGCCCATCTCCCGTAGCATGTCCCCAGTCTCTGACCATCCCCTGTAGTATGCCTGCAGTCTCTGACCATCTCCCGTAGCATGTCCCCAGTCTCTGCCCATCTCCCTTAGCATGTCCCCAGTCTCTGCCCATCTCCCATAGCATGTCCCCAGTCTCTGACCATCTCCTGTAGCATGTCCCCAGTCTCTGACCCTCTCCTGTAGCATGTCCCCAATCTCTGACCCTCTCCTGTAGCATGTCCCCAATCTCTGACCCTCTCCTGTAGCATGTCCCCAGTCTCTGACCCTCTCCTGTAGCATGTCCCCAGTCTCTGACCCTCTCCTGTAGCATGTCCCCAGTCTCTGACCCTCTCCTGTAGCATGTCCCCAGTCTCTGACCCTCTCCTGTAGCATGTCCCCAGTCTCTGACCCTCTCCTGTAGCATGTCCCCAGTCTCTGACCCTCTCCTGTAGCATGTCCCCAGTCTCTGACCCTCTCCTGTAGCATGTCCCCAGTCTCTGACCCTCTCCTGTAGCATGTCCCCAGTCTCTGACCCTCTCCTGTAGCATGTCCCCAGTCTCTGACCATCTCCTGTAGCATGTCCCCAGTCTCTGACCATCTCCTGTAGCATGTCCCCAGTCTCTGACCATCTCCTGTAGCATGTCCCCAGTCTCTGACCATCTCCTGTAGCATGTCCCCAGTCTCTGACCATCTCCTGTAGCATGTCCCCAGTCTCTGACCATCTCCTGTAGCATGTCCCCAGTCTCTGACCATCTCCTGTAGCATGTCCCCAGTCTCTGACCATCTCCTGTAGCATGTCCCCAGTCTCTGACCATCTCCTGTAGCATGTCCCCAGTCTCTGACCATCTCCTGTAGCATGTCCCCAGTCTCTGACCATCTCCTGTAGCATGTCCCCAGTCTCTGACCATCTCCTGTAGCATGTCCCCAGTCTCTGACCATCTCCTGTAGCATGTCCCCAGTCTCTGACCATCTCCTGTAGCATGTCCCCAGTCTCTGACCATCTCCTGTAGCATGTCCCCAGTCTCTGACCATCTCCTGTAGTATGTCCCCAGTCTCTGACCATCTCCTGTAGTATGTCCCCAGTCTCTGACCATCTCCTGTAGTATGTCCCCAGTCTCTGACCATCTCCTGTAGTATGCACCTCTGATCTATGTGTTCTGTACATGTGGGGGAGCTGTCATTGAATAAATAACAGAAATGAATTGTATCCTGGTGTAATAACAAGTATATGACTGACTGTGCCTGTGATTCCTCGTAGGCCCAGCTGAGGGCAGCAGAGGAGCAGCGGATACAGATGGAGGCGGCAGAGAGAGAAGCCGAGCTGCAGAGGAAGAGAGAGGAGAGGAGGCAGCAGAAGCTGGTACACGTGTCATATATCATTGTAGAAATCACATATATGTCATATGACCATTGCAGGGGGTGTGTTGGCTGAAAATGGGTTTAGTGTAAACTCGGAGTATTCTAATAAGAGAGCGCAGAGCTGCCTTTACACTCCCTGTCTAGATTCCAACGGTCCCATCTCTGAGAGAGGGAGGGGGGTGTTGTCCCTCCTCTGACTCATTCAGCTGTGTGTGTAATGTGATATTCCTCGTGGGCCAATCAAAGCAAGGATCACTTGATCCTGCCATAAACTGGTGCAGTACTGAGCCCTTCCAGTCATTGAAGTGATTGCAGAAAGGTATCTGTAATCTGTCTGCATCCAATAGCTGATGTCTCGGTCACCGATTGGCTGCATGATGGGTCGGGAGGTCATGTCCTTGTTGTCTGAGAAGCATGTGGCCGCCCTGCACCTGCAGGACCAGATGGGTTTATCTATTAGAGTCCTGTCCTTAATATTTTCTGTATTTACCAGAAAGAAGAGGAGAAGCAAGGGCGCCTGCAGAGAGAGAAGGAGCTCCAGGAGGTGGCGGTGTCGCACTACAAGCGGGCACTGCTCAGGTTCCATGGCCTGGCGCCTTGGAAGAAACTGATGGCGCAGAGCCGGCAAAACATGGAGGTAAGGGAAGGTTAGGTTGGGAGAGATTGGGTCATGTCACCATGGCAGTACTGGAAGGTTAGGTTGGGAGAGATTGGGTCATGTCACCATGGCAGTACTGGAAGGTTAGGTTGGGAGAGATTGGGTCATGTCACCATGGCAGTACTGGAAGGTTAGGTTGGGAGAGATTGGGGCATGTCACCATGGCAGTACTGGAAGGCTGTGTTATAGGAAGTTTACTAATGAACACGGGAGGTTGGGTGGGGAGAGATTGGGGTATTACAGACATTTTCTCTCATGAAGAGATGGGTGCCGGGTTAGATGGAAACGGGTGAGAAGGAGAGATCTTCTGGGCCGTCCAGTATATGTCATATCTATACTAATGGAGCTTTCTGTGTATGAAATGCATTGTAGAAATGATCTGTATTGTTCCTGTGCACAGCGGGCAGAGTCTCATCACCGCACCGCCCTCCTGAGAGGCTCCCTGCGGCCCTGGTCACACACTGCCAGAGCCATCGCTGCCCAGAAGAGCCAATGGGCAGAGCGGCTATGGACCACAATCCTATTACGGAGGGGTTTCCGCAGCTGGATAAAGGTGCGTTCAGGGGGCTCCATCGTCTCAGATTGTAGTACACGGGGACGGGAGTGTTCAGGTATTATCATTGTATGTCCTGTGATTAGGAAGACACAGCGGACCTCCGGAGTCCTGAATATAGGAGACTGAACACTAAGGCAGCTGCTCCTCTCTCCTCTGCACCTTCACTACACCCATTCTACCCAGTCTAGTGGATGATGGGAGATAATGACATAAGTGTACTTAATATAACATGACAGTGTGTGTCTGGTCAGATAGTGGAGGAGGAAGCAGTGCTGGATCAGTAATCTGTATATAAGGTGACAGTGTGTGTCTTGTCAGATAGTGGAGGAGGAAGCAGTGCTGGATCAGTAATCTGCATAAAGGTGACAGTGTGTGTGTTGTCTGATAGAGGAGGAGGAAGCAGTGCTGGATCAGTGATCTATATATAAGGTGACAGTGTGTGTGTTGTCTGATAGAGGAGGAGGAAGCAGTGCTGGATCAGTAATCTGCATAAAGGTGACAGTGTGTGTGTTGTCAGATAGAGGAGGAGGAAGCAGTGCTGGATCAGTGATCTGTATATAAGGTGACAGTGTGTGTCTGGTCAGATAGAGGAGGAGGAAGCAGTGCTGGATCAGTGATCTGTATATAAGGTGACAGTGTGTGTCTGGTCAGATAGAGGAGGAGGAAGCAGTGCTGGATCAGTGATCTGTATATAAGGTGACAGTGTGTGTCTGGTCAGATAGAGGAGGAGGAAGCAGTGCTGGATCAGTGATCTGTATATAAGGTGACAGTGTGTGTCTTGTCAGATAGTGGAGGAGGAAGCAGTGCTGGATCAGTGATCTGTATATAAGGTGACAGTGTGTGTCTTGTCAGATAGAGGAGGAGGAAGCAGTGCTGGATCAGTGATCTGTATATAAGGTGACGGGGAGGAATGATATTGTCTTCCAGTACAAGGACTACCTGTCTGTCCAGGAGGAGAGGGCACAGCGGCGATACACGACCAATCTTCAGAGAAAAACGTTAATCGCCTGGCTGAACCTGACACAGGAGGAAAAGTTCACCATGTGGGAGAAGCAACGGAGCGCGGCAGAGCACAGCCAGAGGTAGATGTGACCGCGGTGTCTGTATCTCTGTCCTGTAGTGATGACGTCACCGCTGTCTCTGTATCTCTGTCCTGTAGTGATGACGTCACCGCTGTCTCTGTATCTCTGTCCTGTAGTGATGATGTCACCGCTGTCTCTGTATCTCTGTCCTGTAGTGATGACGTCACCGGTGTCTCTGTATCTCTGTCCTGTAGTGATGATGTCACCGGTGTCTCTGTATCTCTGACCGGTGATTATAAGATATCATTGTGCACATTGCAGGAGGACTCTGCGCTCTGCGTTCAGGACATGGAGACGGTTCCCGGGACGTATGAAGGAGTTGAGGTTGAAGGAGGAGAGGTTGGAGTCCCTCAGGATGAGGGTGGCCGAGATTCTCCCCGACTTCCATACTGGAGGAGACGCCGCGCGCTGACACTCACCTCCCGGGTATCATCCAGAGCCGGAGACCCCGCCCCCCTCTTCGGGGTGAATGTAAAACTGGCAATTTTTATACATTTTTTTATTAGATGTGATTTGGAATTTTCCGTTCCATTATAATATCAGAGGGAGACAAACTCCGCCCCTCCAGCTGCGGCGGAACTATACACGTATTATATGGCGGATTGGAGTATATTTGGATAGAATGAAGAACCCCCGGTCCAGCGTTCACATTGGGAGGACACGCCCTCTCTATTTGTCCCGGGGGAATTCCCCTTTAATTGGATGAGGTGCAGACTCTGGTCTGATCCAGTTGCAGTGTAATGTGTGCGGTTTGATTGTACGATCCCGCGTCGCATTGTCCCGCGTCGCATTGTCCCGCGTCGCATTGTCCCGCGTCGCATTGTCCCGTCTTTGTAAGCGATCAATGTTGTTATTTGGATTTTTGCTAATAAAAGACAATTTGTGTCATTGATATAAAACCAGCGATAGTCGGCAGCGATTGGATGATTGCGTTGTGCATCCAGTGTTAGGTCAGTGCCGCCTGCTCTGCTCAGGAGAGTCCCTGGAGTTGGGTTTCCTGGTTCCTCCCCTCCGGCTGGTGGGAAGGGCCAACACGGTGCTTTACATGGCTAGTGGGAGGGGCCGGCAGGGTGCTGTACATGGCTGGTGGGAGTGGCCGGCAAGGTGCTGTACATGGCTAGTGGGAGGGGCTGGCAAGGTGCTTTACATGGCTGGTGGGAGGGGCCGGCAAGGTGCTGTACATGGCTGGTGGGAGGGGCCGGTAAGGTGCTGTACATGGCTGGTGGGAGGAGCCAGCAGGGTGCTTTACATGGCTTTCTGAAAACATCACAGCGCCTCAGTACTCCTCTCAAGAGCCCTCAGCTCTGACACACGCAGTGGGCCGGATCATGGGAGGAGTTATGCAAACAATAAAAATGACAATTTACCTTCCAACACGTCTTACTGTGGGGGAGGAAACCCTCAGAAGCACGGGGAGAACATGCAAACTCCATGCAGATAATGTCCTGACCGGGATTGGAACCCGGGGTACCCCCAGTGCGGAAGTGTAACCACTAAAGCCAGTGTAAAGTGGGTCCAGCCTTCTACGCGTTTCGCCAACACTTCTTCAGGAAGACAGGAACAATATGTAAATCTGTTTTCTTGGAGCGTGGTGGTAAGTAGGGCCACATAGCCGGGGGCCACATCCCATCACCAGGGGGGTACAGGGAGTGGGGAGCACCCGAAGAAGACCCGATATAACCTTCAATGCGTGCCGATATTTCCGACCCCTCCCTGCCCGCTCTTCCCACCGAGCCGCCCGTATCTCCTCTCTATCTAGTGAGTCACCAGAGATGTGGCCCCCGGATATGTGGCCCCACTTACCACAAAGCTCCAAGAAAACGGACTTGCATATTGTCGCCGCCTCCTTTTCACCAGACAGGAAGTGAAGGAATCTCTCCAATGGAGCCTCTGACATCCTGATGGGGGTTGTAGTCCTTCCCCACTCTATCCAGAACATATAAAGTTTGGGGTATAGATACCATTAAAGGAAGAACAATCCCTACAGAAGACGTCCCTCCCCCCACCGGACCAGTGGAGTCTGACTGGAGGTCAGAGAGTGGTGAAGGGAAGTGGTGTGCGGGTCCATCTGAGGGCAGGTAACTGGTGAAGGAGCCCAGTGGGCCCTTGTCCTAGTCCTCTGCCAGGACAGGAAAG